GAGATAAAATTTGAATCTTTCCCCTAAAATTAGTAAGTGTATCAATGATGACAAAGTACCATTATTTTCAACTTTAGTCTTACTATACCTGAGTGAACATTTCCAAATATTACTGTTCTAACGAATTAAAAAAGTTTAAAATAAATGAGAAATAAATGGACCACTGCTAGACTAGCCTTTTAATGCTTCCACATAGAGGTGAAATGAAGTTTATTTTTTTCATTTGTTTCACTCTTTCTGGATCTTAATGACTTAACTGGCAACAACTATGTTAAAAAAGCAAATTATTGAATTATTAAAGGGATAAATGTACAAATATGAACCATAATGCTTTGTGAGAGTTTTTTTACTTTTACTTAAGAATGGCTGAAGCAACAAATAAAGAATAAAAACCAAAAGCCTCTTTAATTCTTTGTTGCTAAATATTTGATTACTCAATGGGAAAAATAAAATAGAAATCCCACATCATCTTATGTCTAAGAAAGTAAAGAAATTTTTGCATATTAAAAAATTTTGCATGTTAAAGAATTTTTTTGCATATTTTTCAATTTTTTTAATATTTTTCAATTTTTTTAATATTTTTCAATTTTTTTTAATATTTGAGTGCTTTGAAATAGATTTAAAATAACAAAGAAAAAAACAGAAAATTAAGTGTTAAATTTTAATACAATAATATATGTTTTTAAATAGTATAAGAACACTAGATAATAAGGAACAAGAGGTTTGGATTTAAATGAAATGCTTATGACTAAAAGAAAAATCTCCCAAAGTAAAAGTCAAATCTCTTAGTTTACTATTTATACTTAGAAAACACCACAATCTTTCCTGTGTAACCTTTCTTTGGTCAAATAAGACGGGTTTAAATAAAAGCACACTGAACTTACAACTTCAAGAAAAGTATGAAGAATAAAAACTACACCCACACAAACACACAATAACTCCATTATTCGAAATCCGTCTCAAAGAAAAATCCTTTAAAGCATCCCTTATAAAAGCAAGAAAAAAAAAGCAGTAAGTAACCTACAAGAAAGCATTATTTACCAAATTTATGATCATTTGTACATACTAACAATCAGATACTACATATTAGTAACATATTTTAAAAGAGACATAAGGTTCCAATGTTGTAACCTCTTAAAATTAAATGCTTAATTTCATTTTCAACACTTAGTTGAAATAAAGTGGTATTTTATTACTGATTTCCTTTGGTTTTATGAGATGAGACCACAAAGTTACAGCAAGTCATAGTTTGAAATCTAATTATATGCCAAAATTAATTGCAAAGCATATAGTTGTTTCTAAATGTGTGCAATTAAAAAATAAAAAGAACAAACTGTATAGTCTTACAATTTTTTTATAAAATGTGCTGTCTTAATTATAATGATACTAATTATCTGATTCTCAAAGAAGGGGTTAAAGAGAAATCAATGTGGGATTAAGTATCATTAAACAAAAGAAAATAAAAGACAAAAGCTTCTTTAAGGTTGTTTTCAACCTTAAGATTTTAAGATTTGCAATGAATTTTAAAAAAATTTCATAACCGTAAATTTATAACCTAATTGTTGAAATCTTATTGAAGAAATATTAGTCTAAAAATATTTTCATTTATGTAAATTAAATCAGCTGACCAATAGTTCTAAAGATTTCAGCATCCTTAATAGTTACTACATACAAATACATACATGAATAACAGAAATAAAACTGTACACAAGTCCTCATGAAACAAAAATTTAAAAACAGTACACAAAAGGAAAAATGGGATCTAAAATGTGAACAATACTTTAAAATTTTTATCCTGAGGTGTGGTGCCTGATAAACATTAAAAAGATACCAGTCTTCCGGCATACAAAACCTTGGGCTACATTTTGTAAATGTACACTAAAGACAAGTTAACGGTTTTTTAAAAATAGTCTATAAAAATTAGACTTTTAATTGGAAACAGCATAAAAACAAACAAATGAAAATCAATGCTACCAGGGAAAAGGATACTTTTGTTCCCACTCCCCACAATATGTAAATGTAGCGCCAGGGGAACTTTTGAAGCAGCTCCACTCTCCATGATGTTTTCCTGTGGTAATGACTTTCGCAGCCTTCACAACAAATAACTGCACATAAACACTTAAACAAATAGAAATGTACCTACTGGAATACCTTCTACCTAGAATTACACAAAATACTTTGAATGTTGTGGAATTTATTTAGGTGATAGTGTGTTCTAAATTATTAAGTAAATTAGTTTAAATAAAGAGCATCACTCTCAAATAAAACAGACGAAGAAAAAAAAAAACAACTTTCATTCATGGCCCTCAAAACAAAACAAATCTCATAAACCAAAGCAACAAAAAATATGATTAAATGTCACCAGTCTGGTGGAATTTAAAGCTTTCCTCCATTCCATAATTCTCTCCCAGCCACGAAATTTGAATAAAAATTAAAATACAAAAACAAATAGCACAGCACTTTACATATGATTACATGTAGAATAGAAATGAGATCATCTACAATTTTATTAAATCAAATTTTATAGATTATTTTAGGAAAATTTTATGAAAAGATCCAAAATAAACAAATTCTAAAAAAGGGGATTTGAGTTCAATAAATAAAATTATCATGAAAGTAATACAAAATAAAATTGTTTATTAATATTAACTAATTTATAGTCCTATAGATATATGAAAATGTTTTCCTTTTAATACTTCTAAAAATGCGTGTTTGTCTCAAAGTGAAAATAAAAATGTCTCAAAATTTCAATTATTTGTAAAATATAAAAGTTTTACAATTCTTTTCAAAATCATCTTCTCTTTGTAAATCACACGCTGTTATTAAGATGAAATGAAAAGGAATGACAAGTAGGGTAACAAATACTGACGGCAGTCTACAGTAACATTAAGCAACTGAAACCCACCCAATAAAGCAACACATATGCACTGCTGTATACAACACACTTCCTCATAATGAATCGGTCCAAGGAATGCAATATATACGCTCACCTTTGCATACTTACCTGTTACATTACCAATTAAGAAACAAATGTCTTGTAAACTAAAATTTAAATCCACTGCAATGGCTGAGTTATAATATATTTAAAACAGAATTGCAAAGTTTTAAGAACATATTCAATTTTTATGAAAAAGCAGAATAATTTAAAGTTCACTTTCATCAAAATTAAAGAAGCAATTCTCCCATAATATTTATCCAATAAATACATGAAGGCTAAGATGAAAAAAATTATAAAAGGGAAAAACCAAACATCTTAGATCCTTTGTCGCAGTTTCCGACCAATGAAGAACAGAGAGAAATATGTCCTGTAACTACAACAGCAGAAATACAATTTTCTGAAAATAGCCTCTTTAGTTTTACTTTTTATATGATTTCCAAACCATCGGAAAGGCTTTTACGGAAGGAACAACTGATTCTATTAGGCACTAACTTAAAAAGAAAAAAAAATCTCCGTTTTTACGTTTCGTACCTATTTGAGCAGTTCTCTGACTAAACAGAGTTTTTTGGTAGGTCAAGAGCTATCGGCTGCGCGTCGAACATTCAAACCCCCCAGTCCCGTGTCCCTCCAGCCAATCAGCGGTGAGACAGCCGGCCTTTGGGAGCTCCGTTAGACAGGATTTGAAAAACATCACTTTGCGCCCTCACTCCCCGGGAAGGGAGCTAAGTGAGGGCGGGTCCCCAGGCTCCCCAGACCAGCCCAGAGCCGGGGTTCCCACCCAGCTCCGGACGGGGAGAGCCCTGCGGGGGGCCTGCCGGGGACAGCAGGTCGCCGGGGTCCCCGGGAACCGCGCTCCTCCGCCAACAGCCGAGGGCTGCAGCTGCGCAAGCCCTCCCCGGGCCCCGGCACGCGGAGCCTGCGCCCCTCGCCGAGGGTCACCCCGGGGCGCTGGGAAGGAAAGGGGGTTCGGGCTCTCCCGGGCGGTTAGCGCGGACGAGCACCTCGAGGGCCGCCTGAGCTGTCACTCACTCAGGAGCCGTCGGCTCGGGGTGGACCAAAAGCCGGCAGCTAAGGGGTCCCCCACCGCACCCCGCTCTCCTCCGCTCCGGCGGCAGGAGCTCCGGGGCAAGGTGAGGACGCCCGGTTACCGTTGCATCGCCGGCGCAGAGGCTGGTCCGCGGGAAGCCCCAAGTTCCTCACTACTTTTCCCTGACACGCCGCGTTTCAGCGACTGCGGGAGGAAAAAGTCTGCGGAGGGCGCCACGGGGGGGGGGAAGGGGGCGGCCGGCGCGCAGCCCTCCCCGGGGCACCCGGGGCCGCCGCCTCGCCCCCGCGGGCGC